GATGGGCTGTGTTCTATGTATGATATGTTATGACATCATAATGCCCGCCCACTTAGAATGCTGAACATTCTGCATGGGCGGACTCAAAACAGACGGTGGTGGTGGTGGGGGGTGGGGGGTGGGGGGGGGGGGGGGGGGGGAATTGGGTGGCAGCTGCAGCATGGGTGAAAGTATTCCGAAATTTTCCGTTTCCAGACCAACTTTGCTCTTCCAGCTGTGCTTGTGCAGAAATGCATCATTGCTCTCGCTTAGCTCCAACTTTGGCCTTCCTCTGCACACTGATGCTTCTCATTTGTCGTGCCAAACAGTGATGTTCTGCCAAAAAGTTTAATCCCATTTTAGTCCCATTGTATAAAATTTATATTTATCTGTCAGTTCATTTTTTTCATTCATCCAGCAATCCGTCGCAGTTTTTGATGAGTAAATATGTTAAGGCCCATGTAGACATATATACTATAAACTAAAAGAAATTTTGATATTACATGTGCAGCCACCTCTTTTGCTGTATAATGCCTTTGATTTGCTATAACTCTAAACGATTAGTTTCTGGTCACATCTATGGTATTTATTTATTTTGTAGTGTTTATTATTAGCTTTTATTTCCACTTTCAGTTGTAAAAGACCTGGTCCTGATACCTGTCCATACCAAGCCAGACGACTCACTGAAGGAACTCGATGAGCTGTATGACGTGGTGAAAGCAGTCAGAAGGAAGTGGAAAACAGACGTAAGCTGTTAGAATTTTTTAAAATGTATGACTTAAAATCTCTACGTAAAATTTAAGGTGTAAAATTTAAAGGTTTAAATTCAGAAGTTTCCTATTTAACTGATTCAATTTCTAAACCAGTGTTTCCCAACCTTTTTTGACTTGTGTACCCCTTTGGGCATTTTGCCTACCATGAATCCCCTTCTCAGTCACACGTATTGATAATTATCCAAAGGTTTTAAGTAAAAAATGTTTTACTTAATCTTTGAATTTGAGCATTTAATTCTCAGGAATTTTATGCTTTCCATCGGAAATTTAAAAAAAACTACATACATATGTTGTCTGGAATTTAGTAAAGAATTAAAAATAAATACAAAATCAAATCATATTATGAAACTTTGTTTATAAAACTGGAGCTCCTCTGAGTAACTCCCTTATAATCACATTTAAACTTGATGAATCGGGAACAAAAATTATAGCCAGGCTGACTTTATTAGTATAACTTTGTTTTCATTAAGACATCTTAACTGCTTTGATGAGCTCCAATAGATCATTGGGAAAAACATTTGATCCCAGGCTGTTCTTTACTTCCAGCCTGTTCCTCTGCTTGGTTTTTGATGTGTGTCACAGCTGAAGATGAACTCAAACAGATAATAAAAACATACTTTTTGTGTTGATCAGGGTTTTTTATTTTTCAATTGGGTCCTCAAAATTCAAAACTGATCCCAGCCTTATTTTATTTCACTACCTCACAAATAAAGTATTTTAATATACCCCTTGCAATGCACTCTTGGACCACTGGGGGTACGTGTACCCCCTGTTGGGAGTCACTTTCACTGTTCAATTTCAACCATGTTATTCAGTTTAGTCTTGTTAAACATTTGTAGGCAATAAAAGGTGCTGAATTATGTGTTTCTGAGCTCATCCTTACAGTATGTTTGAATAAAACTTTGATCTTTACTTCAAAGATAAGTCATTTTTCGTTAGTTAAAAAAGTAGTAGCTGCTCAGTTGGCTTTTATTTGATGCCTAAAGTAATTGTTAAATCTCCCAAACATAGCAGGACACTACCACATTTTCAGGATTGAAGCAGTGGTTTATAATCCAGATTTACAGTTTTACTTAAGACCTCTGACAAAATTCGAACCTCCAAATACTTGTGCGGTTTTGACTCATACTTTATGTCTCTTTCAGAACATTATGATACTGGGAGACTTCAATGCAGATGGTCGATATCTCTCTAAGAAAAAGAAGGAATCAATCCGAATCTCCTCTGATCCTTTCTTTTGGTTGATAGATGATGATGTTGACACAACGACTAGTAATTATAATGACCACACCTATGACAGGTGAGACCCATGTGACGGCATGTTTTAAGTACATTTATCTTCTGCATTAAGGAAAATAATTATTTTATTTTAGTATTTATTTAAATAGATATAGAACAACTGATTGCTACTTTTAACTGTAAGGAATTAATAACTCAGGACAAAATAATAATGTTTTGAAGTTAGATGAATGAATTCCAAATGTTACAATATATTATATAAATCCATCTCTCTGTCAGAGCTTTTTCAATTGCTGCCCCAGAATTGTGGAATGAGTTCCCTTCCTCATTAGACAATCCTCTTCACTGTCTACTTTTAAAAAGCCATCTTAAAACCTATTTTAATTCTTTGGCTTGAGACTCTATCTGTTTTTGACTTTGTGGTTTCTTTTATTGTGTATTTGTTTTACTAAATTTATTTTATTGCATCTGTTTTGTTCCTTTAAACTTCTATGTTGTTTTCATACATTTTTAACTTTACTTGGTATCTACAGCACTTTGTCCCAGCTGTGGTTGTTTTAAAGAGCTTTATTAATAAAGTTTAGTTCACTTGTCATCCAAACATGCATTACTCTATGAACATGTTTCTACTGAACATGGTATATTTCAGTAGTTGAAATGTATTTATGTAGCCATCTCCTATAAAGAGTGAATTTCAATCAACTTCTTTAGACATTTTCTTCAGTTTGTAAAGGTTTAAAAAAAAATTTTGTTTTTTTTCTGAGCAGCCAAATCCAGCCAGTTTGCAGTGCTTTAAATGCTAATAATTACCTTAAATTCTATTTTTTCATTATTTTTTTTAAACTGACCTCTGTGTTTGGGTTCATGTTCATTGGTCCTGTTTTAATTATTATAATACTGGTGCAAACTTAGCTCACATCATCACTCCTCCACCACTATGCTAAATAGTTACTGAGAAGTCTTGGAACTGACTGAATGTTGCTTTACCAGACTTATGATTTGTTCAGAAAAAAAGAAAAAATGGCATGCTTCTAATCTAATAAAGTCATTTGTTTATTGCTTTGAATGGATTAAGTTAATAGGAAAACAGATTGTCCTTCAATGTTTTCTTGCTTGTTAGTTTAGCCAAGACAAGCAGCTTTGGAAATGCTGAAGGTGCTATTTGTAAAAGGATCCTAGTGAGCTCCAGATTAGCTAGCACCTTGTCTTTATGCCTTCAAGTCAGATCTAGAAGAGTGTGAACTTTGGTTTTCTTTTCCAAGACTCAACCTGCATAGTCCACATCTCTTGCCCTGTTTAAAATTCTACTGAATAATAGTACAAGTAAATCACTTTGCTGATTTCTTTGAAACCACATCAGTTAAATACATCATGATGAATCTTCTGTAAACAGGATTGTGGTGTATGGAGAAAAAATGCTAGATGCCATCCTTCCTGAATCCGCCAAATCCTTCAACTTCCAGGAGGAGTTTGGCCTGACTGATGAAGAGGTGATTATCATTAGCATTAAATAGTAAAAGCTGTTTAAGTTGTGCATTAGAAAAATTTAGTTAAAACAATTTCTGGGACAGAAAAAAATCGATCATTTATAATCTTAGTGTTTTACTCTTCAAGGCTGAAAGCATCAGTGATCATTATCCTGTGGAGGTGGAGCTTGAGAGTGTCCAAACAAAGCAGAGGAAGCAGGCTTTGCCCCGAACAAGAAAAACATCCACTAAAGGAAAAACTCCACAGAAAGGTAACCTTCACCTTATAGATTGCCATGAACTATTTTGAAATTGCTTTTTTGTCAGAAATTGGTCAGAATTCATTGTATTACAATTTGATAAGTTTGTGTAGATTAGTGTTTCCATGATCAAAATTGTTGCATTAAGTATCATAAACTCACTCAATTCAATTCAAAGAATGTTATTAATCTCCAAGGGGGAAATTGAAATGCATGATAAAATACATTAATGAGATTAAATTAAACACAAATAGACCTCAAATAAAATTTTCTGCACTGATTTCCATATTTCTGCAAGCCAATTTTTCATATTCTTTATTTATAAAAATAAATAAATAAATAATAGCCATGATGTAGTTTTGGTTTCGTTTTACTACATATACTGGTTTGTGTTGGGCAGTCTCCTAAAAGCACAATAAAGATATTAGAATTTCTGTTGAGAAAAAAACTCCGTTTTCATTTCAACCAACAGGAATTAAGAAGAGGACAAAGCCCTGTGGATCCAAGAGTAAAAGTTCAGCAGGAAAAAAGAGAAAAGGACGACCAGTGACATCCAACAGCCCAACAAAAAGGAGACGTTAAGCTATCTTCTCTAGTCATCCGCTGATGTGCTGTTTAAAAGTTTTGATGAAATCTCCTTGCCTGTTTAATAATCAGATAAACACAAAAAGATTTTATAGCCTCAAAATAATTCTTTTTTGATCATTTCAGTTAAATAAGCCTTTAAAGGGAGCATTTGGTCCAGAAGTATGGGCCCTTTTAACACTCTGTAGTCCAATAACTTATTACCTCCAAACTTTATGTATTTTTGCTGGTTATTGCTTTGTGTTTATTGCTCACAGTTGTGTAATTTATATTTAAGGCTTGTATTTGATTAAATATAAAATAACCAAACACTTCACTAAATGAATCGATAGACTGGTAAGTAAATCGAGCAGAATTATAGGTCAGGTTGTCTTGAAAGCATCCCTGAACTTTGAAAAATGGATTATCTATTCAAGATGCAAATTTTAAAACATAGAAACATTGAAATTAGCACCTTAAACTCAGTAATCAGGTACTGTTAAAACAGAAATTGGTAAAGCTTTTATTAAGAATGATTAACACATAAAAATATTTACATATACATTTGTCTTGACTCAATCATATTAATATGTTTCACAGGATGTCCGTATTTTCTATTACAAAATAAAATAAATAAAACAAGTTTTTTCTACATTAAATTATTTTTGGACATTTCAGATTTTAAGTTGCTGGATTTTTTTTTATCTATATGTTCTTAGAAAGCAGTTGTTTGATTTAGCATTTAGTTCTAAAGTAGGTTTGATTAAAGTTACAAATACAGTTATGGAAAACTATACATAATATATGTGAAATACTCTTTGACTTTTCAAAAATGTGTGAAATTTGTATTTTTTTCAATATGAGATTAAACTTACTGAATTTGATTGTTGTATTTAGCAACAAAACTTTTATAGTTGTTCTATTTTAAAAAAATGTTGTTTTTCTCTATAGCTTTATAGTGCTCAAGACAGAAACATTACCACTGGTCCATCGATAAATAAACCGGTCAGTCATTGGATAATCTGACTATTCAATGGATTTTACCACTACACATATCTCTTATTCTTTGTTCAATGTTATTTTCTAGGAATTCTTTTTTTTTTTTGTAGTTTAAAAAAAATAATGTTTTGTTATCAATTAAAAGAATAATGTTGAATAAAAAAGAAAAGGGAAAACATCTGAGAGGAAAGCACAAGCTGAGGCTGAAGAGCACAACATGTTCCCTTTGTTTGGATACCATTAGGCATACTTCAAAAGGTATATATGTTCCCACCTCATCACATAACTAGTTCAAGCCAGAAAACCCATAAACATCCCTTCACACAGTAACATCTGCCAAATTTCTCATGTATAAAGAAAAACATACACATACAAAGAGACATATGGTATATTTATATACAATGTAACAAATTTACTGTAGAATTTACAGTAAATAACTGGTAAAAAGTTGCAAATAATGTGCTGTAAAATTCCTTGATAAACTAAATGCAGTATATTATTGGATACTGTTTGTAGGTTTTGGCTGTATATAAATAATGTATTACAATAACGTATTATTTTATATTAGGAACAACCATTTATTGTTATTATTATTATTATTATTATTATTATTTTATTCCATTCAAATTATAAGCATTACCTGTCAAGTCAATTTGCCAAGTGGTTTTATAATCCAATATTTTATTGTAGTCAAAGCTGTGCTTGCTGATAAGCCAAACTGTATAAACGCTACATCAGATCATCTTCTGCTATAAATAAAACAGTCAGTGCTGCAAAAACAATACCTTTTCATTAAGATTTAATGCAGTGAAATGTATTAAAGTTGAGGTGACCCCAACACATCTATATTCTAATCAACCCAAACAGGCATAGAGGGCATAGAGATGAGACAAACAGCACTAAACTATTGGAAACAATTATTGCACAGTAACTTATACTACTGTAATAGGCACTGGACAATGTTTCTCTCCCCCATTCGGGATTTCTGCGTTACATTAACGCACAGTCTACTGTTTGTATATAGCTTCTGTATATATATATATATATATATATATATATATATATATATATATATATATATATATATATATATATATATATATATATATATATATATATATATATATTCTATCTTATTTTGTTATTTTGTTTTGTTTTGTTTTTTGTCTGCACCAACAACACCAAGTCAAATTCCTTGTTTTACATAGCACCATAACAACACCCCCTGTGCTTTAGACCCTCACATTTGCTTAGGAAAACTCCCCAAAACAGTTTTCCATGGGAAAAGGAGAGGTATCTTTTACCCATGACAGGCAGGAGTGCAATAACTAATGTATTCACACAAAACAGATTGTAAGGCAGAATATGGATGTATATATATAAGGTGATCTGATTTGACTTGCAAAGCTAGTGAAAGTTCCGTTTGGAGAGGGAGCATAATGTTATCTTTTTGTTTTTTAACTAATTTTAAAATACATTAATATAGGATGTTTACAAGAGAGTTGAAAGAGTAAAGAGGGGTAAAATATGATAGTTTCTTGGCCAAAATGGGGAGACTAGACAATTAACCACAAACTGCAGTGTATCTAGAAGGGCTGTCTTGGGATTTTACCTCCAGCTCAGGTCTCTCTCTTACAGCAGCTGCTTGTATCTCTCGCTCCCATGCATCGTCTGCACGGGGCATGCTTCTCTGATCATTTACTGTGATCCTTCCATCTCCTGCTAATTGCCTCTGCAGTTAGCTTCTATAGTTAACTTCTCTCAGCCAAACACTGCATGAAAAGTGGGATTTTCGTCAATATACGGCACTGTAGATTGTCGTGGAACTTCAGGTTAGCGGCAGTTTACGGCAATTTGCAGGCTTCGTCGAAAACTCCCGTAAATTGTCAGAAATTGACGTGGAATTTCTTAGGCAGTGTTCCCCCATGCCTCCCCCCATGGAATTCTAGGGGAGGCTTTAACATGTAAATGAACATGCTGTGAGCTATACAAATGCAAACCAGGGTTGCAGGGGGGGGGGGTTACCCCAAGTGACATCTTTCTAAAAGGTAAGAAAATCTCTGATACAAAGAGATCAGGCTCAGTATAGCCTCTTACATTTTAGCTTGAATTGATTTATTTAATTAAAGTATAGAGACCAAAACAGATCTTTAGCTGACAGAGCAATACATTTAGAGCAGTAATTATTAAAAAAAAAATTTGCATTTAAGATAAAAAATAAAATGTTGTCTGTCAATATGCTCAATTCACAATTCCTTAAGTGGAAAAGTTTCAAGAAATGATTCTGAGATGATTCACTTTATAACATGGCGCATTATCCTGTTGGAAGTAGCCATCAGAAGATTGGTACACTGTGGTCATAAGGACATAGGTCAGCATGCTAAATTGGTATTAAGTGGCCCAAAGTGTGGCAATAAATATCCCCCAAATAGATGGTAGAAATAGATCAGGCTCAGTATAGCCTAATTATAGACTCTTACATTTTAGCTTGAATTGATTTATTTAATTAAAGTACGCTAGATTACTGTGTATGCAAATGTTATGTAAAAAAATACACAAAATAATTTATTTCAAAAATTAGTTTTAATCAGAATCAGTTGGCTGTAATGGCGGTTGGCAAACAATTTTTTTTTTTTTAGATTTCCACTTTTTTTTTTTTATTGAATATATAAGAAAACAATAACAATCTCAAATAACAAGTCAATAACAAATATTTCAATACAAGAAGAAATATCACAACTCCTGCTTTTGAAAAATACAATTAAATGCACAGGCTGGAACAAAGTATAAAATAAAATAAAATAAATAAAAATAAATAAAATAATAATAGTAGTTAAAGTAAATTAATCAGTGGGGACTACCAACTGAAATTCTTCAATTAACTCAAACAATTTAATTGCATTTAAATTCTGCATCTTTCTCAGACATCTTTTGAAAAGGGAAAGTTCATTTTTGAGAGCAGAGATTGAGAGGGAGCATTTTGCATAGCGACATTTATGGATATAATACTTTGTTACAATTATTAGAATATTGATTAAAAATTCCAATTTTTTTTTTTCTTTAATGGATAAACCGAATTGAATGTTTTGCCAGGAAATAAAATCTAAATTTATTGTTTTAGAAGACAGAAAGGTTCGAAGTTGATCCCATAAGTTTAATACTTCTTTACATTCATAAAAAAGATGTTTAGTTGTTTCCAATTGAGTTGTACAAAAGCCACAATTCTCAACATTAAACTTAAATCTGTCTCTTAAAAACTCATTTGAAGGATATATGTTATTTATTATTTTAAATTGTAATTCTTTATATTTAGGAGGAATTGGGAATTTCAAATAATTTGTCCTAATTTTGACTATCATAGATTTCTTAAAATTTTGTAAGAGAGCTGTGCTTTTTGTTCTTCCTGGGTACATATTATTTATAGAATATTGATTCAAAAACTTGTTGCATTTATTATCTCTAATGTCCACCTGCTCAAATTCAATCTTATGGAGTCTAGGAATAAAGGAATTAGGTAAACTGTTTTTAATAGAATGAATGAGGACATCAGGGATACTACGTAAAACTTTCTTATAAATTCTTAGTGAACAATCGTTTCTAAACTTCCTGTTAAAATCCTCCAAACTTAGAAAATCACCATTACCATTTGGCAAACAATTTATAGGTGCATTACCGCCACCTTCCAGAATGGAGCGACGCGAGCTCTTCTCGCGAGTCCTTCCGTATAACAATGACGTCGTATGTGATTGGAGGAGCCTGATGAGCCTTCGGCCCCATCGTCCAATCACGTGTGAACTTTTGTGCACTACGACTACTCGCGAGACCAGCATATAAGCAGACATGTTTGTGTTACTATACTCAGAAGAACTTCATCTCCAGTTACCGTGTTTGTATTTTGTTGTTACGTGAACAATGGCTGCACAACGTCTCGCGTTCAACTCGCCTCCAACTGCTCTTAGTCCACAACTTTCGGCCAGCCCGCAGACTGACGAGAAGAAACTGCTGATTGCTATCAGCGGACTGTCTCATAAGCTTACCCAGCATACCGCCGACATGAATGAGCGGCTCACTCAGCTGGAGTATTCGATGCACTACAGGTTGCAGTCCATAGAGGACAAGATGGCGGCTCTGCAGTCGAGCAACTTTGCGGGATATACGAACTCGAGGAAGAGAAGACGGGTGCACAACGCCACGCTAGCGGTAAATATATGTTCGATTACTGGTAGCTATGCTAAAAGCAGCCTAGCTTAGCTAGGCAAGCTAAAGACAACCTAGCCTAGCTAGGTAAGCTAAAAGCAGCCTAGCCTAAAGCTTTATTAAAGTGTATTTTTTGTGATTCACAGGAAGCAGTACGCCGTCTTCACAACTCGGAGACTAATTGCAGGCGCTATGAACCGGAGCAGGGGTAAGATTTTAAGAATATGCTTTCATTCTGCGGTAAAAGGACATGTATACGGATAAATACCGACCATAGCTGTACTTTTTTTTTTCACAGACTACTGTCGCCTCACAATGAGGCGGTGACCTATTTGCTCGGAGCCATCTCGGCAAGTCCAGATTTGCACGATGTTGATAAAGACGACATTGTGTGTAAGTGACTTGTTTTAATGTTTTCTCCTTCCTTGTTACTGTGACTTGCGTT